AAATTATAAATACTGTACAATTACACTTTCATACATTACCTAGAATAAGCAAAAAAACATGAGATTCCATACAGATTAATAAAGACTTAAGATTCAGGAAAATGGGGAGGTGCTATTCAATCAGTACAGCATTTCTGTTTGAGATAGTGAAAAAAGTTGTAGAAAAAGAAAGGCAAAAGTAATTCTTTTTCTTGCCACTAGTATAACAGTACTACACAGGAGGTGAGTTTTACTTAAGAGGATTCTGCAGGCTCATGGCTCTGGATGGGAGTGGAGGGCTCCCTCTGGCTTGTGACCTCTTACGTAGTTTTAAATTTTAACCTACTGTTGCCTTTCAAACTAAAAGCAAAAATCCCCACTAGCATTATCTGTAGTGATCAGCTGCAGCTCTAGATGTTCCTGTGGGGAAGAACGGTGAAAGGATGAGAAAATAAAGAGACAAAGCTAGGATCACGTGGGGCCCTTAGTCCTGATGGGAGGGAAGGAATTGACCAACCCTGTAGTACTTTTATACCCTCAAAAGAAGACTGTTAATTTCAACCCCACTGACTAGCAACCTGTTTGCCTGGCTGATCTGGGCCCCTTGCTTTCTTGGTGCTGGAATAGCTTTTTTGGCTCTCTATGTTTTCTAGACTGGGCTTGCTTTAGCCCCACACATGTGGTCAATCTCCAGCTTCAATGACTCCCTGCAATTATCATGATGTATTATCTTTTATTGAAACTTTTTCTATTTTTTGTGAGAGTTGATTTTGGAATGAACATGGAGAGCACTAAGTTACATCCCCAAACCTTCTTGATTTATCTTCCAACAGGGTCTTGCTGAGTTCCCCAGGCTGGGATCAAGTTTGAACCCTCTAGGCTCAACCTCCTGAGTAACTGGGCTTACAGTCAAGGGCCTCCATGGATGACTGAAGGGCAGATCTTACTTGATGTGAGAGTTCAGAATGAGACTTTCCCATTTTGTACTTTCTTTGACAAGTATTGCTATAATAACTTTCTTGGTTGATAAAACATGTTAGGCTGTCTTTTCTCTTTTTCTACTTGTGAGACTTGTCTGTGGAAGTTTGTGATTTGATGTACTTCTGAAATGTGAAAGAAATCACAAGCAAATATTATTGAACTAGAATTTGCATGGGCAATTGTTTTAATATCAGGGTCAATGTACTCAACACACATGAGACAGTCTGACTTTCTAATTTTGTTTATCTCCACTTAGAAAATGTCATCTGTGGGATTTTGTCCATTTCATCTTTACTTTGTTACACGTCGACATAAAATTATTCATAATGTCCTGCTGTTACATCATAAACACATGTGGAATCTGTTTAGATGTCTGCCGTTTTTTAATGTTGAAATTTGTGTTGACTCTATTTAAGCCATCATTATTAGCTAGTAATATTTTTATCTTCTGTGACTTAGAGTTATTTCACGAACTTTTTCTAAATTTTTGATATTATATTTTGGTTCAAAGATTGTTTCAGAGTGTTTGCCACAACATTCATTTAATTTTGTCATTTTCTATCTGTGTGGGGTTATGCTGTCATAAGCATTACAGTTTATTTCATAACCCTCTCCCAAGATTTCATTTCTAAGTCACTCAACAATTATTGAAGTATCACCAGTTTTATTTCCAACACACACAAATGTGAGCTCTTTCTGATCACAGAGTCAGGTGAGTCTGGGAAGATTCCAATCTCTGGAGGTCTCTTTGAGGTGTCCCTGACTGAGGTATCACTTACTCTCCTTTGAGATGGCTCTAGGTCTACTGGATGCCAGGACAGTGTACACAGTGGGTTCCTCTAGGTGGGCCCTGACCCGGGAGGTAGGAAACACAGTTGTCCCCTGGTTGAGTGTCCAGTTGCTCAGTTGGGCATAGGTCACATCCTGAGGACCCTCACAGGTGGCAGCCTGCAGGGAAGAGTGGGAGAGGGCAGGGTTTTGCTTGGCTCTTGGGAAGACTGGGCACTGGGGGGACTGTGGGACTGACCTAAGCATTAATAAGCCTGTCCTCCCCTGCCTGTCCATTCTTTGTGTCCAGGAGCTCCCCAGAGAGTGCCAAAGGAAGGGAGGCCCCTCTTCCTCTCGGTGCTGACTGCTACACCTCAGCATACATCACTCCTTGGGGACCCTCATCAGCTGGGCTATGAAACACGGGCATAGAGACAAGAGATATGGTCTCCTTGGCTCCACATTGGTCTCTTCCAACCAGGTTCCCCTATGGTGACCAGAGGTATCTTTTAGAAATTAAACCATACACTGTTTCTTCCTCATGGACTTTCACTGCCTTTCTAAGTCTTGGAGGGTCTGGCAGATTTTTTTCCACTGTGCTGCCTTTGCATACTAACAATCCAACCTTGATGCCAGAGCTGTAGCCACAGGGATCATTGTTCTGAAGGAGCCTATCTGTTTCAGAACCTTTGCCTTTGCCAAGTATTGTGCCTCTATTGCTGGCACATGGGAGGTGCATGTGGCTCCCAGTATGAAGTCTTCTGTTCAGCGTTATCTTACCAAGGTCTTACCTTGATTATTCCTGGCCCTCCTGCTCTCTACCCCATTTTTTGCTTTATTTTCTTTCATAGCTCTGTGCTTGGCCTCCACTTCGAGTTGGCTCAGTATGTGAGGGGGCTGTGCTCACCACTGTATCTGCAACCCCATGGTGGCAGGTCATGAGGGAGCCCCCTGTGAATGGATGTGAGTGGCAGCTCACCCACTTGGGGTCCTTCTGAGACCCACAAGTAGGAAAAATCCACATAGAGGATGAGGGCCAGGAAGGGGACAGAGAGAAGGGATGCCAAGGTCACAGGAATACAGCCCAACATATGGTCATAACAGGGCTTCAAGAAGGGAGTGCTCAGTTGTGAGGCACCTGAGAGCTGAGCGGTGGTGACCAGAGCAGAGTCCCTGGGCTTAACTGGGAGACAGGAAGTCCCTGTGCCCTGGATAGAATTGGGTCTCACCTCAATGCTGAGCTCCACTCGGTCCTCAGGCTTTGTATTGTTCACTGTGGCATCTGCATGTACAGAAGAGTGGTCAGCTCTTGGCCAGTGTCCTGGGTACTCTCACTCCCTCAATCCCTGCCATATCCAGCTGGAGACACAGAGCCAGGCAGCTGTATGATGTCTCCAGGAGCAGTGTCAGAGTTCAGACTGACTGAACTCTGAGCCCCAGCTTCCTGTGCCCCTGTGATGCTGAGACCTTGGGGCATCTCCCATCCCCCACCCATCTTCCTCTCACAGAGATTTTCTTCCTGGGCTGCAGTAGCTTGGCAGGAACTGGAGATCCCTTGGGGTGTCAGGATTCTGTGAGGGCAGCAGACAGGGGATTCAGGGTCCTCAGACAGGAATGACCTCCTCCGCAGGCCTCTGTCCCTGGGCGCTGGCCCCATGTCCCCTGTAGGACATGGGAAGTCACTTCTCTCTGGGCCTGTAGATGGACAAAATCTCGGCTAGGAGGTCAGAACCACACATTCCACAGGCCATGCAGGGCTGGAAGGAAGCCTTTAACCCCATGGACTTGGAAGCCTATGAGGCCTGTGGAGGAGAAGCGCAGACCACTCCAGAGACTCCCCCAGGGACAGGCACCCATTTTTGTGCTGTATTCTCTTCTGTGAGGTTCTGCACAGGAGATTCTGCATAGACTTCTTCCCTAGGATTGGTTTCCTGGGAGACTACAGCACCCACAGTTTCCTGGGTCTCACCCACCCTGCTCACCTGCCTTCCTACTCCTTCCCTTGCACCAGTATCCAAAGAAGAGGAGAAGGAGAAGGAGCACAGAGGAGGCCATGGAGACTCCGATCACAACCTTCGGGTTCCCTTGCAGTCCTATGCCTGGGGTGCTGCCTTGAAAGAGGAAAATTGTCACTTCATTGAACACCTAGTGTGCGCCAGCCCACTTTGGACCTTTGCATCCCTCACACTCTCACAGTGCTGCACATGGGATCACCCACCCCCTCATGCAGTTTACCTAGGAGGAAATGGAGGCTGAAAGAGGGGAGTTGCCAGCCCAGGGAAACAGCAAGAGGCCCAGATGGGGATGAACCCATGGAGCTGGACTTCTGCCCTGTTCTCTCCAGCAGAGCTCAGCCTCCTGATCTGGAGGGAAGGAGCTTGGACATCCTGCCCTGGCCCTGTGTCTTCCCCTGGACATTGTCACTGTCACTGTGTAGAGAGAGACAGGATCATGGCAGTGTGGGGTTCTGGAGGCTCCCATTGGAGGCCACCTCTCCAGGGATCACAGCAAGATCAGCCGAAAGAGCAACTTGAAGTTCATTGCCAGGCCTCTCCTTTATACCTGGAGAAACTGAGGCCACACAGGAGGGGCTGGTCTGAGTCAGCATCTCCAGAGGAGGCTGCAGCAGCCCCACAGCTCAGCCCCTGTCCGTGACCCCTCCAAGCAGTGCCCTCACTCTCCATTTAAGGGTCTGGATTCTGGTGTGAGAGGCTGATTCTCAAGGTCCACTGCTGTCCAGGGGCAGAGAAAAGGATATGAACCCAGGTGCCCACAGGCTCAGAATGGGTGCTGCATGGGGTGATTTCAAAGCTGAGGGAGATGTTGGGGTCCAGCATGGGGGAAGAACACAGCTGACATGGGCAGGGAGCCCAGGCCTTCACTTCCTCTCTTATCCCAGAAGACTTTGAGAAGCAGCCCCTCATACCAGAGAAGGAGATGGTGAGGGGCTGCCCTATCTTGTTCTGAGCTTAGGCCTTAGTGGGGCTGTCTCTGAGGGCCCTCGCCCTCTGTCTGTCTCTGCTTCCTCTCCCTCTTCCCTTCCTCACTTCCCCTGTGTCTCTATCTCCTCCCTGAGGCTGGGTATCCCAGCCTCATCCTTCAGCAGACCTTGTGTAGAGTCTGGGTCCCTGACTGAGCCCTGGCCTCCTCACCTCTGATCAGAATGTCTAGGGCATCAATAGGAACCAAGGAATTGAAGGAGAGGCAGTGTCCACCATATAATGTATAGAGGCCCCCATGGAAACCACTCCCAGGCCCATGGGGAAGTCAGCCTAAATGTGCCCAGTCTGGGCCTGCTGGCCAGGGCACTGTGTGAGAATGTCTTCCCCTTTGTTAGACAGAGTGAATCTGAAATAGCCGGGGTCAGAGCAAAACCTGAGGGTCAGGTTGTGCCCAGGCTGCCACACAGGGCCCTTCTGGGTCAGAAGAGAGTACTTCCTGGACAGCACTAGAGGGAGGAGGACCCAGACTGAGGGGCTGCTTCCTGCCACACCCTGGCCCTCCTGTGCTGCCCTGTGAGTCATATTGAGGTTTCCAACCCTGTGGACATCCTGACCAAAACTCTCTTCTAGGAATCCTCTGTAATAGGGCCCCTGACAATTATTTAGGAATGAAACATGCTTGGGTCTATGCAGGCACTTGCTCACCTGATACAAGCAGCTCCAGGGCATCACTGGGCTCTGACAACATGTTTGGTTCTATATTGTAAGAGCCATAACAACGGAATGTCCACCTCTGCCTGGGGGTTACAGGACCCACAGGGAACAGGGCGTAGGCCTGCCCACTAGGGTATTGCTGTGAGTCCAGAGTCCAGGAGAGCTTGTCTCCTCCTTCCTTAGTCAGAATGAACTGGTCAAATACCAGCTGTGCCTGACACTGAAGGGTCACATTCCCTCCTGAGTCCACCACAGGGCTCCGTAGGGCTGAGAGGCTGGGTTTGCTGTAGAAACCTAGGAGAGAAAGAGGCAGCATGTGAAATGGACCCACACCTCCCACACTGTCCCCAGGGCTGGGCTGTGAGAAGGTACACCCCTGTGAGCAGACCCCTTCCGGAGGGCAGAAGCTGTGGCTAAGATCCTCAGTGTCCTCTCACCTGTTACCAGCAGCTCCAGGGAATCACTGTGCTCTGACTGGCCAGAGGGGGCTTGGTAGTAACAGCGATATTGCCCTGCATGGTGCTGTTTCACAGATAGGATGGAGAATTTGGCCACATCCTTGAGTTGCATTGACGTTTGTCTTCTCCAGATCGATCGGCTTCCCTCTTTGTACAGTACATATTCGTGGGCCCCTGGAGTCTCTTCACACCAGAAGGTCACTGCTTCTCCTAGTGGTATCACAGATCCTGGCTCAGCCCAGAGCCTGGGTTTGGGCAGGGTACCTGCGAGGAAATCACATCTGGGTCCCAGCACCACCTCCTCATCCCCTTACATCCCAGTTCTCATCCTGAGGACCCTCAGGCCTCCCAGCACCAGTGCACAGTTGCTGTGCTCCATTCCCACTGCAGTAGCCCCTTGTGCCCAGGAGGAGGGACCTATGACAGCTCAGTACACACTCACCTGCCTTTGCTGGGGTCTTGGGACCCAGAATCAGCCCTGGAAGAAAGCTTCCTGTGAGAGGTTTGCTCTGGAGCCTGAGCAGGTCCTCTGCTCCCCAGAGCCTCCGAAGCCCTGGGTCCCCTCATGGACCAGGGCCTTACTGTTGGTTCCAGACTAGGGTTCCCATCCCCATGTTCCATTCTCACCAATGCAGAGCAGGGCCGTGAGGGTGGTGGTCATGGTGTCTCCTACCTCCAGGCGAGGCTGTGTGAATAGAGGAGACCACAGTTTTCTTTCACAGCTGGGCATTAATTTCTGCCCTTCGTAGGGCGGGCACATCATGAGCCCCACAGGAAGTGGAACTGACATCCAGCAACACCAGCCTCCTTTTTCCCAGGTCTCAGACAGGCTGTTCTCCAGACTGATGTGGAGTTTCCCATCTTCCCAAGTGTTCCTCAGTGATTCTCACCTCACTGATGGCCAGGACACAGCAGCTGATACACCCAGAGCCTTCACCTCGGAACTGCTCCAGGGCACAGTCACCATGGGCTGGTCCTTCCTCTCAGAGCCTCCCATGGGTCTTTTGCCTCCCTCAGCTCTTTCTTCTGCACAGCAAGGTCATCCTTACAAGACCACCTTCCTCCATCCCAGGAGATGCTCTGGGGAAGATGTAGATTCCTGCTTCAGGTGGAGAAGAGCAGAGAAGCAGATGAGCCCTGACAGGAGGAACCTCCATGCAGGTCAGGGGCAAGGAGCAGATACAACCACATCAGACAGCATGCAGGGGGTTAGGGAAACTCGGGTGATTAGGAACGATTGAGGCAGGGATTCTCAAAGGAGAAGGAAGTCAGTTGTATTAATGTGATTGAAGATCAACTCTGGCAGGTTTGAACTTGCTTCTTGTGAATTTTCCTAGTTCCTTGGAGTTGCTTGATAAATTGTTTATTTGAAGTCGTTCCTCTTTTTACCAATCCAAAAAAATATAATTTTCTGACTTTAAACTTTGTTTTTTAGTTCTTTTGGTTTACTGTGTGCAGTTGATCATAAAAGAAAACTGTCCAGAACACACGAGTATACTAAACATTTTCCTCTTCAGTGATCAAGAGCCAAGGCGAAAGTAATGTCTTCACTTTATTAGTGGTGTAGTTTTCTTCACTGGGAAGACCTTCTAACCCAGCATCCCTAATGTCAGGCTCAGGACTTGCACATTTCCTGTGTGAGGTCCAGAGTGCTGGAGGTCACTTACTGTGCTCCCCTTTGCTCCTTAGGATGTGGATTCCACCCATCAAGGCAGCATCTAGTGACTGTTTAAATCTGTATCAACACCAATATTTATATCTGTAATGTCTGCAGTTATATCCTCTATACCTGCATCCATTACTCCAGAAAACACACTCACACTCGACCTGCAGAGCTATCCCAGTTCCCTGTACCGGATGTTCTGAGGGGATTTTCCCATGTCTGTCAGCCCATCAGCACCCACTGCGGTGTTGGGCATAGCCCCCCACCCAGCCTTCATCCTGTATCACATGGCCCCTTACTCCCTTCCCTTCTGAGTTCCTGGTGAGCTGGTTGCCTTAACCTGAGAACAGGATTTTGGATTTTCCAGGTAAGTCAGTCAAACATTCTGAGTCCTCAGACAGAGGTGCTGTGAACTCAGTCATCCCATACTCAACACAGGCATCAGACCCAGTGAGGAAGATTTGTTGCCCCCCCCACAGTTGTTTGTCTTTATTGTTCTTTTTTGTGCTGGGGAAAAAATAAAACACACCCATAAGTTAAGCAAGAAAAGTTTATTTTAGTTCTGGTGTATAGATTTCAGTTCATAGTCAGCTGATTCCAAGGCCAGGTGATGTGGGAGAGGAGAAACAGTCTATGGTGTGGTGGGCAGGAAGTAGTGAGGGGACTGGAGGACATGAGCTTCCATCCCATGCTCATAGTGACCACCCCTTCTCTCCAGGCTTCACTGTTCAATAACACACGTGGCTGTAAACCTATCAGTGGACAATTCTAGTGCACACAGCCATGATCCAGGCTCCTCCCCAAAGCCACACTTGTGATGCCTGAGTCTTTGGGGTCATCAATCAGACCCAAAACTGAGGTATGTTCAGACCCTCTTCCAGTGGATGAGGCTTCTATTCCCCAACATGCAAGCTGCGCAGGTTCAGAACAAGTGACAGAGCTTACCTGCTTCAGCCAGGTGGGCTCTCACTGATCCCAGCTGGGAATGACACCCAGGGACCTCTGACCACTGGGGTCAGTGTTGATGGGGAACAGAGCACAGTGCTCCTAGTGTGGACATAGAGGATCACCCAGGGTGGTGATGGTTTGTGTGTGCTGAGGAAAAGGTTAATATTTGTTTTCCTTTTTACTGTTAACAGGTTTCATAAACTGTATTAGATTTTACTGACAAGTTTGTATTTAAATTGTGTGAATTCCAGTTACTATTGGTTGCTTGGATCATTATTCTCTACTTTGTCAAAATTAATGCCATTATTATGCAAACATAAATCACTGAATGTTTTGAGTTTTTCTGTTTCAATTTATTTAAGGCTGGTGTATGTTACTGAACACTTTGTGATATCCTTGGCCGAGTCTTAGTTATTGTCAAAATTAACTTGTTAAATACTCAGATATGTTGGTGTAGCCACCTCACACCACAGGGTGAGGTGATGTGTAGAACACCTCAGTGTCCCATGCCAGACCCCCAGGTTGCCTATGGTCTTTAGCTGAGTTTTCACGGGGCAGATCCTGTCCCTTCTGAGACCCCACATGCCAATGCTTGCTCAGTGAGGTCTCAGATTTCTTCTGACCTGGTGGAAGACCAGGTGGGTGTACACACTAGGCACAGTTATGGGCTCCTGTTCCTGGGAGAATGGGGCTGTGTTTTCTCCTGTCTGGGCATAGGTCAGTCCTTGGAGACCTTGAGTCAGCTGCCTGGGAGAGGAAAGAGTAGGAATGAGAATGAGGGTGCAGGCTGAAAAGGCCTGGGAAGCTACCGGTGATGGAACTCACCCACCTGTCCCTCTGTCAGTCCGCTGCTGAAGGTTTGTCCCTCTGTCGGTGTCACTCCCGGCCGGCAGGAAGGACACACAACAAAATCTGGCAGTGGACAACCTTTTCTTTTATTTTCCTTCTCCGTACAGCCTGCCCCGGGAATCCTCCCGGCCGAAGCCTCTGTTGGTCCGCTCCCCGCGGCTCCTTGCGTGCTTCTCCCTACAGTCTGTCCCGAAGCCTCTACCGGTCCGCTCTCCGCGGCTCCTTGCGTGCTTCTTCTGCTTCTTTTGCTTCTTCTTTTTTTCTTGGCGGGAGAGGCACTCACTTTTATAGGGTTCAGTTGTTGCTAGGCAGACTATCTTACAGGGCGGGTTGTGAAGCAGGAGATCTTACAGGGCGGGTTGTTTACCAAGCAGGAAGCAGGAGATCTTACAGGGCGGGTTGTTTACCAAGCAGGAAGCAGGAGATCTTACAGGGCGGGTTGTTTACCAAGCAGGAAGCAGGAGATCTTACAGGGCGGGTTGTTTACCAAGCAGGAAATAAGCGCCATCTTAGCACACTCGATGGGAGGGGTAATCTAGCTCAGGCTTTGCTCTTTCCTACAGGCCTCACGTCCGCCAAGTAAGGCGACCGGGCTCGGCCGCGGCTCCCAACATCCCTCAATCCAGAAAATGCCTTGACTTGGGGAAGAAGGGGAAATCCCCCACATCTCCAACTGGAGGCATGCACCTCTAAGTAGGTCACTTTCTGAGAGTCCTGGTGCTCTGGGCTCTGCAGCAGGAAGACAGTGACAAATGCTGCTCCTTGACTCTGCTCTACACCATCAGTCACACACACACAGTCTACACCATCAGAGTGTCAAGTGGTTAGGCTGCCTCTGAGGCTCTCAGGGTAAGGACATAGTGCTTGGTACATGAAGGGACTCTGCTTACTGGGACAGTGGCTCAAGTTAGCTGGAGCTTCCAGCTCTGAGATCTCAAGTGCACTTGGTATGAGCATGGTGACTGCTTCCCTGACAGGAGGCTCAGGGTCCTCAAACCAGGAGGCACAGGAACACAATGGGCCCATGGTCCCTGTGCTCCTGTCTGAAACTTCATATGGGCCAGAGCTGCCAGAGAGCCTCTGAGAGGTGACCTGTGACCAGAGCAGTGCGACCAGAGCACAGGGAAGCAGGAGGGGAACATGCAGTTGGAGTAGCATCCCCTGGTGGATGGATCAGGAATAGTTCAGAGTCACCTGAGCTAAGGGCAGCACTGGGAGTGGCTGTGGAACTGATCTAGGAGTGGAATCTGGAAAAGTAGGGAAGAGCAGGCAGGAGACAGCCTAGAGTGCTGGCAGGGAGGAATTTAACTGAGGTTCTGGTGAGCATCAGAATCTGGGCAGAAGTGGAGACAGTGAAGGTGACACTCAGGAGGCTTCAGATGGAAATAAGCACTGTCTCAGGAAGTGGATCGAACACTGCTTTTTCAGTAGTTTGGGGAAACTGTTGACTTTTTGTCAAACTAAAATTTAAACAGCTCATGTATGCCAAAATTTGAAAGTGTGGCAGAAACACTAAGAAAAACCCATATAGGATCAGAAGAATATATTAGGAAATTTGGAAGAGAACCTATAGAGAACCTTGAAACAAATGGTAACAAATTCCCTCCCCAAACAGATTTGACCATTGTGTTTTTGGGTCAGGTCATTGTTGCTTACAGGGAGGAAGATGACAGTTGGGAAACTCCTACCAGTGGAAAATTGGTTAACACGTTTTCCCCACATACAATGATTGGCAGCTATGCTTGTGTATATAGGGGAAATGTTGAGCACAAAAATGTAACAATGTTCTTAAGATGTAATCTGCAATCTCTTCTTGATCACCCTTGAAAAATATAACAGCACATATACTGCTGAGAGGCTGGCTGTATAGTGCTACAAAGCTAAGAATATTTGTTCCTGGTGCAGCTTCCTCTTAACACCAAGTGAGCCGCACCAGGCCCAGTTCCATGCAATGTCTGGGAGAAAAGGGGTGTGGACTTCTCTCTGTCCCTCATCATTCTGTCCTCTGCAGTGTGGGCTGTGTGTCTCCTGCAGCATGAGTGGCCGTCCTGCACACAGCAGGTTCACAGTGTGTGAGGATTCCTCTCTGCCCACTGACCTGTGTGTGACCCTCAGACACAGACCTCAGACAACAGAGGAAGCACCATCGTACTATTGCACCAGGGAAAAAGAGAGTGACTGGATCACATTAGAGGGTCCTG